AAATCCTTTAAATGGCTTTTTTTTTTCAATTCATTTTTGAGAGAGCGCAAGAAAGACGGCAAAGAGAGAGGAACAGAGGATCCGAAGGGGCTCTGTGCCGACAGCAGCAAGCCTGATGTGGGGCTTGAACTCACAAGCCACGAAATCATGACCTGAGCCAAAGCGGTATGCTTGACTGAGCCATCCACATGCCCCCATTACCTCTTTTAATTCTCAGACCAACTCAGAGAGGTATTATTATACCTATGTCCCAAATGAAGAGTCAGATTCATGAGCTAAATAATTTGCAGTTTTGCACAGCTGGCCGGACTCCAGAATTCAAGGTCTTGACCACTACACTATCCTGTCTCTGCCATTTCAGCATTAATGAAGTTGTCAGAAAACACCAATTTGGACACCAAGTAAATAGACACCTGTGTATTATGCTGATATCAAGGGGAAAAAATACATTCTTAACTTTGTATGTGATCATAGCAGTGCATCACATGTCTTATAAATGGTGGAGACATGATTTTACCATATTTTCTGCCTAACAGATAGCATGTGCTATGGACTCAATTGTGGCCCCCCGCCCCCGCCAAGTTCTTATGTTGAAGCTTTAACCCCCAATGTTACTGTATTTGAAGATGAGGCCTGGGGCGCCTGGGTGACTCAGTCGGTTGAGCGTCCAACTTCGGCTCAAGTCATGATCTCGCGGTTTGTGGGTTTGAGCCCCGTGTCGGGCTCTGTGCTCACAGCTCGGAGCCTGCAGCCTGCTCCAGATTCTGTGTCTCCCTCTCTCTCTACCCCTCCCCTGCTTGCACTCTGTGTCTCTCCCTCTCAAAACTAAATACATATTTAAAAAAAATTTTTTTTTAAAGATGAGGCCTTTGGGAGCTAATTAGGTTTAGACTACATCTCAAGCAGCCCTTCTGATGGGATGAATGCCCTTACATCAAGAGAAAGAGATCCCAGAGCTCTCTGCCATGTGCCGACAGCCAAGAAGGCAGCCGTCTGCAAGTCAGGAAGAGAGCCTTTACCGGGAGCCAAATCAGCTGGTGCCTTGGTTTTTGGGCTTCCCAGCCTGCAGAACTGTGAGACATAAACGTCTGTTGTTTAAACCACCCAGTCTGATATTCTGTGATAGCCGCCTAAGCAGACTGACAGATTTTGGTCCCGAGAAGTGGAATGTTTCTGTAACATGCCTAAAAAGGTTAGAAGTGGCTGTGAAACTGCATCACGGGTGTTGGTGGAAGAGTTTTGAGGTGCATGCTAGCCCAGATACACGGATGTTAAGCTTGATTCTAGTGAGGTCTCACACAGAAATGAGGACCTTGTTATCAGAAAGTGGAGGAAAGACAATCCATAAAATGCCTGAGAACTTGGCTGAACTATGTTCTGGTGTTTTGGGGAAGGTAGAATTTGCAAGTGATGAAATTATATATTTAGCTGGGACGTGTCTAAACAAACTATTGTAGGAGCAGCTTGGTTCTTCCCGAACGTTTGTAATAAAGTAGGAAAGGAAAGAGACAGATTGAAGAAGGATTCGTTAAGGAACCAGAGCTTGAAGATTTGGCAAATTCTCAGCCTTTTCATATTGTAAAAAATGGGAGAGATTCTTTTGAAGAGAACAAATATGGCTGGGCAACCATTTGATAAAGAGAGCATGTGTGTAATTCATGGACTTAATCAGCCATTTCAACAGAAGCCAGAGTTACACTGGGGATTGTACTGGCAAAGACACTGCCGGTTTGAACTAAAGGGGACAGAAACGAGACAAAATGAAGGCTGTCAGACCTCTTAGATCCCACGGGACCAGATGATAGAGCCATTTGGCTGACACATGGCCGTTCTGCAGGAGAAGAGAAGAAGGACTAAAAGGCAGTTCAGAGATCATCGGGGCCACCCTCGGTTTCAGGAACACACTGTGCCTTTTGCGGGAGAACCTCAGAGGCTGGGCCACCGCCCCAGCGGGTCTGGAAGACAGAGCATTGAACCAAAGATGATTATTCTTGAGGCTTAAAGTCTAATGAAATTTGCCTTGCCAAGTTTAGGCTTGCTTGGGACCATCACCCCTTGTTTTCTGTTTCTCCCTTTTGGAATGAAGATGTCTCTCCTCTGCCTGTCTCACCATTGTATTTGGAAGCATGTCACTTGTCTGGATTCACAGGGTCACAGATGGAGAGGAATTTTGCCCCAGGATGAGGTGTACCTCCCTCTTACCTGTATCTGATTTAGGTGATATGTAGGTGAGATTTTGGACTTTAGATTTTAGCATTGATGCAGGAATGAGCTAAGACTTTTGGGGCTGTTAGGATAGAATAAACACGTTTTGCATGTGAGAAGGACATGAATTGGGGGTGTGGGTACCAGGGGCAGAATGCTTTGGACTGAATTGTGTCCTTTCAGAATTGATTTGACAGAAGTCCTAACCCCACCCATGACTTCCTCTAACCCTAATTACTTCTCAAAGGCCCCATCTCGAAATACCATTACATTGTGGTATTTCAATATATTAATTTTGGAGGAACACAGTTCAGTCCCTTGCAAATGCTATTTCTATGCCTCGGAGTACATGGTTTGAATTTAATTACCTTATCTTACCAACCCAACCCTCCTGCCACTCCCTAAATCAGAGCTAGAGTCATTTATTAGGATGGCATGTTGCCGGGGGGCCTGGGTGGCTCAGTCAGTAGAGCATCTGACTTTGGTTCAGGTCATGATCTCATGGTTCGTGGGTTCGAGCCCCGCATTGGGCTCTGTGCTGACAGCTCGGAGCCTGGAACCTGCTTCAGATTCTGTGTCCCCCTCTCTCCCCGCCCCACCCCTGCTTGTGCTCGGTCTCTGTCTTTCAAAAATGAAGAAACATTAAAAAAAAATTTTTTTTAAAGAATGGCACGTTGCCCAGTGTCAGTCCCTCATCCTGTGGCCACCAACCCGTCTTTGAAGACCGTCTGGCTCTATACTGCTCTAGTTCTTTGTTCTTGCAGTGCTCACAACTCTTCTGTCACTTTCTGTGGTCTCTTGTCCCTTTAATCCCCCACAGGATTTTTTCCCCTGAAACAAAAGGATCTTTTCCTAGAAGTGTAGTTTTCGAAATTACTGAAGCATACACAGTTCCTGTCTCCAGACGCCCACTGCGCGTCCACACAAGGCCAGCTCGAGCCCAGAACAAGTGGCAGGTGCTCGCAGGACTCCAGGTGGGCAACCAGAAGGAAAAGCGCAGATCATCACCAGCCTCACTCATCTCAAGCTCGAGCTGCTTCCGGCGTAAATACCGAACAAGCGTATCAGGGAGAGGTCACACCACGGGCCCCCACACCTCGGTGTGCTGTTCTAGGGAGAACTTTGAACAAAGAAGACCACCACCTCTTTATATCTGAATGTGTGTGTGGATATGAGTGCATGAGAGAGAAATGGAGAGAAACTGAGGCAATAATAAATGTTCATTTTAGTCTTTGTGTCTTTCTGTAATTGAGAAGAACCTCTAGTAATGGAAAATCCATTCCTAAAGGACACATTTAGGAAGTAAGTTTGGGGTGGGGAAGGTATGCGGGGAAAAACTCGAGCTACAAGACGAAAATAGACAAAACATCATGGTCACAAATTTCTCTAATTCCAAACTTGTCATAACTTGATTAGGGCCTGGTTTGAAACTTACCTTGACTTGGAAAAGCTGGTTTTGGGTCATAAACACTGTAAATGAGATCACAAGGGAGAAATTGCTTATTGGAGAGAAGAAATTTCAAGACATCCTCAGGACTTTACAAACAGCCATTACTTAACATTAATTAAAGTTTTTGTAATACAAATTATAAAGCATTGAGCACAATATAAATCCAAAGTCACACAAAGTAGTTCCAATGCTTTTATAGGCGATTCTGATATGTGGATTAAAACTGATGTAAGAATCCCCTACTACACGAAAAATGATTTCATTTTCAGACATTTTCTAATTTACATACTCTAGGGCTGAAATGGTGAAATTTTGTTACAGACTTTTAGTGATTAATAAAAATGAACAAACAGCAAACTAAGAATTTAATAAGATCCCTAATGTGTCCTTTAAATATACCAAAATATATGCCCTATTTGACTACTTAGAATCCCTGCATTGTAATACTTGTTTTGGAAATAATTGAGAATAATAAGTTTATATTCTATAAAATTTTTTTCAGGATCTGAAGTGAAAAAAATTGAAGCCACAAATGTTCCTTGTACACAGCTTTCAATGTCATTTTTTCGTCGGTTATATGATGAAGATATTGTACGCGATGATGGACATATCATTAAGTGTTTAGATTCTTTTTGTGATCCCTTTCCTATATCTGATGAATTACGAAAAGTAAGTATAGATTTTTAAAATTTCATAATAGAATTTTATTTCAGGAAATGCTTAATGTCAAAAACTTTTACCTATGTAAAATACCTAAAATACCTTTTATCAATTATTAATGATCAGTAATATCAGTTACATTGGTAGATTTTTTTCTTGGATGGGACTTTTACTGTCAACTGAACTATCTGTGTATTTCAGTAGTTCTCAACCAGATGCTACTAACAGTCATGCATAGAGGCCAGAGATGTTGCTAAACATCATGCTGTGGGCAGGACAGCCCCCCACAACAGAGTTCTCTGCCCCAAAATTTCAATAGTGCTAAGGCCGAGAAGCCCTGACCTGCTTAACTCATGGCTATTTTTCTTCGATATGGGGCTCTTAACATATCAAATGACTATTTAAAAATATCCCTGTTGTAAAAGAATCGTTCTGTCTCACAGCTGAGATCAAAAAAGCCATTTTAGGGGCGCCTAGGTGGCTCAGTTAAGCGTCCAACTCTTGGTTTCGACTCAGGTCATGAGCTTGTGGTTTGTGGGTTCGAGCCCCACATCGAGCTCCACACTGACTGTCTGGAACCTACTTGGGATTCTCTCTCTCCCACCTGCCCCCATCCCTCCCTTACTCACACTCTCTCTCTCTCTCTCTCTCTCAAAATAAATAAACTTTTTAAAAAACCATTCAATTAACTAATTTTTTTTTAGCAAGAGGTGTATTGAATCAGAAGACATAGATTATTTAGCTAATTCCTGAGTTATTATTTATAAGATAGTAACTAAGCAAATCATTCAATATCTTGAGCCCCAAGATCTTATCTGTACAACATAGAGATTAAAATTCCCATTCTATCTTGTTGAAACTGTTGAGATATGAGTTGAGAGAGCATTTAAATATACTTTTTAAAAAGTGTGACATGTTAAAATGAAATGCATTATTATCATCATTATTTTATTTATAGAGAGAGCAAGAGCAACTGGGAGAGAGGCAGAGGGAGAGAGAGAGCATCTCAAGTAGGCTCCATGTTCAGCACAGAACCCAACACAGGGCCCCATCTCATGACCTAATCCAAAATCAAGATCATGACCTGAGCCGAAATCAAGAATCGGACACTCAATTGACTGAGCCACCCAGGCGCCCCTTATTATCATTAAATTATGGAGATAAAGTATTTACCAAATGGACAAAAATTAGGGCTTTCAGGGGCACCTGGGTGGCTCATTCGGTTAAGCTGCTGACTTCAGCTCAGGTCTTGATCTCGTGGTCCGAGAGTTAGAGCCCCGTGCCAGTGTCTGTGCTGACAGCTCAGATTCTGTGTCTCCCTGTCTCTCTGCCCCTCCCCTGCTTGCACTCTGTCTTTCTCTCTCTCAAAAATAAATAAACATTAAAAAAAAATTAGGGCCTTCAGGGGCTCCTGGCTGGCTCAGTCGATGGAGCGGGCAACTCTTGATCTCAGGATTATGAGTTCAAGCCCCACATTGGGTGTAGAGATTATTAAAAAAAAAAAAATAAAGCTTTGGTATCAAATAGACATAGATTCAAATACAGGCTCAGCCACTTAATAACTGTGGTACTTAGCCTCATTTTTTTCATCTATAAAATAAGAATGATGCAAGAATCATGTGAGGGGCCCCGTGTTGCTCAGTCGGTTAAGGTCATGATCTCACAGTTCATGGATTCGAGCTCTGTGCTGACAGCTCGGAGCCTGCTTGAGATTCTCTGTCTCCATCTGTCTGCCCCTCTCCCACTCGACTTTGTCTCTCTCTCTCAAAAAAAAAAAAAAAAATTATGTGAGATAATGCACTTAAAGTGTTTAGCCCAATGCCTAGTATTTAGTAAGCTTTCAGTAATAGTAATGACTAGCCACTAATTACTATTATTCTACATTTAGGAGATGTCGCTATGTGTAAGTTGAATAAGGAGATGTATAAGTTGAATTTATTGTAAATCCAGATGGGAATGACCTAGGGAAGCCCCTGACACACCATTCTGGACATAGACATCTTGTCTGTAGGAGACCGGGGAGGCATCCAGCCAGTCTCTGCGTTCTTCTACACCAACAGAACACCTCGAAGAACCCTTAGTTGAAGAAGACAATCAAATTGCTCATTGAGGATGTCCAAACACAACTGAGGAGACTATATATAGTTGCTCTGTAGTTAGGTGGTATGTATAACACAAGATAAGCACCGTACCTTGGGGATCTGATAATTTCTACTCTTCCTTACCAAAGACTGGAAATTAACCTCTACAAAGTGTCTAGTCTAGTCTGGGTCTTCTTCCTTTTGGGGCACTATGTCAGCTCTTCTTATCTGTCCCCGATCTCTGCTGGCACATGTACCTCTCTATCACAAGGCCCTGCCCCCTAATTTCAGAGAGCTCACCCTCACTTATACTGAGAGCATTGGCAACGGACTTTTCGAGAGACGGATGCGCCTTCTCTGCTCTGCTGCTTGTCGTCTGGTTTTCTTTTTTTAATTTTTTTTTAGAATTTATTCATTTTTGAGAGAGAGAGAGAGGGAGCATGAGTGGCAGAGGGGCAGAGAGAGTGGGAGACGCAGAATCTGAAGCAGGTTCCAGGCTCTGAGCTGTGTGCTGACAGCTCAGAGCCCGACGCGGGGCTCAAACTCACGGACCGTGAGATCATGACCTGAGCTGAAGTCGGACGCTCGACCGCCTGAGCCCCCCAGGCTCCCCTCTGCTGCTGGTCTTCTTTACTTCCATGCGTAGCCCTTGAATTCAGGAAGTACCCACACTGTTTTTCTGTCGCCCTGTGGCGACAAGCAAGGTGTTAACTTGGTTGCTTTCTGGCTGAAAAAATAAATCAATAAATAACCTCCAGCCTTAGCCTGAACTGAAAAGGGCCCTCCGCCATGCAGCAGGACCGAGCCCGTCACACCGCCTCACTGAGGCCTGCCGATAACCACCTTCCGCAGGCGGCTCACAAGTCTGGCTCCTTAACCACATTGCACACCTCCTCCCTGAGGGCCCCATGTGGAAGCACACGGGGAGATCAGCCGCAGGTGGGTCCCACTTCCACATTTATTCCCCAAATATTTTTATTTCTGTCATTTTTACACTGCGCAGCCTAATCAGTTCAGTAACCAGAGTGCTCATGCGAGGAATGCGTTCATTCGTCATTCCTGAGAGCTTTAGTCGCTCTTGTGTTAAGCCAAATCTTTAGGTAGCTACAAACTCAGGCTTCAATATCACATCATTTCCTTAGAGAGAGAGAGAGAGAGAGAGAAGGAGGGAAGCAGGCAAGGAGGGGAGATGGGCCAAGCCGTATGTGTGGCACACCCAGGGAGTAATAAACTGTAAACCACTTCCCCTCACCTTTTACTGCGTGTGACTTTGGCTTTCATAAACTCATTGTAAGTAACCTGCACACTGGCAACACCACAGAGTTTATTTTAAGTGCCTCTTTTATGCTGACCTTGTGATGAATATTCATTTGAGATTGGGGTAAATCAAATGTGAAGCTTGATCAGGTTTCCTAATTTAAGTGCACTTCTTGCTACTAGACAGTGATTTTGTATAACTCCTATTTCCCTCCTTTACCTGTTTGGTAGTGTTAGTGTTATGTACAATTTTTACAGCATTCCGACTCCTTGTTGTATGTATTTTCTTTCCCACTTTGTTTCTTGGTTACAGGTTTTTGCCTTTTACTTTTCGTACCGTGTCGGTATTTTACTGTTAGCTACTTCACATTCTTTTTACAAGCAGGTGGAGTATAAACAACTCAATAAAAGAAATGTGTGTTATGGTTTACATTCGTCACCTTGTCCGTATCTACCGCAATCGAGTTAATCAGTTGTGTGGAACGGCCAATGGTATAAGAAACCCTCCCACGTCCGACCCTGTCGTGCTGTTTTCTGAAAGAGGTGGTGAAGTCTCCAGAGAGCAAGAGTCAGTATAGATGGGTGATGTGTAGGATGATATTATTAGGGGACAGCAGGAAAAGAGGCGGTTATGATGGTCCACTCACCTGAATAGTTCAAAATGGAGTAATGGGGGTGGGCCGGGGCAGGGGTGGTAAGGAAAGTGGTCATCCAGAAGTGCAGGGGTAGGGCTTAGAAAATGAGGGCCAGCTTCCAGACTGAAGCAAAGGCTACAGACCTTCTGGGATGGAGAAGTTTCTCCATTTATTTATGGTTCCTTGTTTCCAAATAAGATTTAAGGTGACTCAGCACTAAAATTGCAGTAGTGCTAAAGCCATTACTAAAGATACAAATTAGAACGAAGGTATAAAGGGGAAGAGGAGGAGATTAGATTTACTCCTTTAACTGAGCATCAGTACCTAATGGTAACATGGGGGGAAAGTGAGTGCAGGTCTCACCGATTACTCTTTCTGGTTGTTCAGGATTGGTTGTCGACATAGGCCTAGGATCATTTGTAAGTTCATAAATGGAAACTTTTGCAAACAAAACTTAGAGCCTTAAATCATGCTAGATTAAGATGAATTTTATCATTTTCCATAGGTTTTGCTAGTGGAAGACTCAGAAAAATATGAAATATTTAGCCAAGCTGATAGAGAAGAGTTCCTGTTTTGTCTTTTCAAACATCTTTGCCTTGGTGGAGCCCTTTGTCAGTATGAAGATGTGCTTAATCCGTATCTGGAAACAACAAAGCTTATCTATAAAGATCTAGTGAGGTAATGTTGCTAGATTACAGTCGGTAAATCTCTGGTTAACGGAGTGCATTGTTTAACTGTGCTGGGCTCGCCTAGCGTCTCTTGGGTCCTGTTGACGCCAATCATCAAAGCGTGTGAGAACAGCACCGCTTCGAACCCCTTTTCCGGCCTCTCCCTTCTCCTCCAGGTTGGGACATGGTCACATCTCCCTGACTCTCTTTAGCACCCAGTTCCCGGCTCTCATCTGACTGTGCTTCCTTCCCCATCCAACGGATTACTCGCTCCATGCCTGCTTAGCGGCCGACTTACCCCAGATCTTCTATCACATTCTCCCCAGGTTCCTGTCGTGCTTACCCCAGGTCTTCTGTCACACTTATCCCAGGCATCCTGTCACGTTTACCTCAGATCTCCTGTCACACTTACCTTGAGTCCCCTGTCACCTCACCCCAGGTCTGCTGTCACACTTACCCCAAGCCTCCTATCACATCAGTTTCCTATCACACTTAACCCAGGCCTCCTGTCACACTTATCCCAGGCGTCCTCTCACATTTACCCCAGATCTCCTGTCACACTTACCCCAGGTTCCTGTCACAGATACCTAGGTCTCCTGTCCACTCACCCAGGTCTCATGTCACATTTAGCACAGGTCTCATTTCACATTTACCACCAGTCTCATGTCACCTTTACCCCAGGTCTCCTGTCACAATTACCCCAGGTCTCCTTTCACATTTACCTCAGATTTCCTGTCATATTTACCCCAGGTGTCCTCTCAAATTTATTTCAGGTCTCCTGTCACCACATCCCAGGTGTACTACCCTTTTACCTCAGGGCTCCTTCACACTACCCAAGGTTCCTCTCATACTTACCGCAGGTCTCCTGTCACATTTACCCCAGGTCTCCTGTCACATTCACCCCAGGTCTGATGTCACTTTTACCTCAGGTCTCCTGTCATATTACCCCATGTCTCCTGTCACACTTATCGCAGATCTCCTGTCACATTCACCACAGCCTTGATGTCACTTTTACCTCAGGTCTCCTATCACACCTACCCAGGGCTCCTGTCCCATTTACCACAGGAATCCTGTCACACTTACCCCAGATGTCCTGTGCATTTACCACAGGTCTCTTGTCGTATTTACCCCAGGTCTCCTGTCACATTCTCCCCAGGTCTCCTATCATATTTACCCAGGTTTCCCGTCACACTTACCCAGGTCTCCTGTCACATTCACCCCAGGTCTGATGTCGCTTTTACCTCAGGTCTCCTACCACACTTACCCCAGGTTCCTGTCACACTTACCCTAGGTCTCCTTTCACACTTATCCCAGGTCTTGGGTCACACTTACCCCAGGTCTTCTGTCACACTTACTTAAGGCCTCCTGTCACACTTACCCAGGTCTCCTGCCACACTTAACCCAGGCCTCCTGTCACACTTATCCCAGGCGTCCTCTCACATTTACCTCAGATCTCCTGTCACACTTACCCCAGGTTCCTGTCACAGATACCTTGGTCTCCTGTCCAGTCACCCAGGTCTCATGTCACATTTAGCACAGGTCTCATTTCACATTTACCACCAGTCTCATGTCACCTTTACCCCAGGTCTCCTGTCACACTCACCCCAGGTCTCTTGTCACACTCACCTCAGGTCTCCTGTCATGTTGGCCCCAGGTCTCTCTTCACACTTCTCCTAGATTTCCTGTCACACCCACCCCAGAACTCCTGTTATACTTACCCCAGGTCTCCTGTGACATTTACCCCAGGTCTCTTTTCACATTTCAGGAGAACACAAGATTCCTCAGGTTGTGTAAATTTGCTTGACTAATAGTAGAACAATTACCTTTTTTGTAAAGAGGTGGAAAGATTTTTATCTAGGCATAAACTTTACATTTTTAAGTTAATTCTAAATTCCAGGTTTGCTTAGGTGATCCACTAGTTCTGTTTTTCTCTCTTTGAAGATCTAATTGGTATAAAAACTTTATAATCATTTATTTATACTTTGGGTTGGGCTTTTCAGTGATGAAGATATTGGATCATGTCTGTAGGCAAAAGGGATAGGAACAAGTGAAAGCAGAGTTTAGTTACAAAATTTTGCTTTAATCGGAAAAAAACAGAATTAGCTTGTCGTAAAACTCTCGATCGTTACTTGCACTCAGCATCTCAAATCTCACTTCTGCTCTGTGTGTCATTCAGCTGTGTGACAACTACGTGATATAGTTATTTCACTTCATTCTTTTTCTTATATAGTTTTTTTTAAGTTGATTTATTTTGAGAAAGAGAGAGAGAGTGGGGGAGGAGGAGAGAGAGAGGAGAGAGAGACTCCCAAGCAGGCTCCTCGCTGTCAGCTCAGAGCCGGAGGCAAGGCTGGAACCCATGAACCGCGAGATCATAACCTGAGCCAAAACCGAGAGTCAGACGCTTAACTGCTTGAGCCACCCAGGGGCCCCTCTGATACGGTTTTAAAAACAAAAATTATTTCTTTAATTTGCCTCTGATTTTTGTGGAAAAGTTACTCTGCCAATACGTAAAGATTGTCCAAAAAAATGTTAGAAACAGAATTTGAGAAAAACATATACATACTCACATCCAAAACATTCTGTCCTTATATTCAGCTCGTGAAAACCCGTAGGCCTGCTTCCAGCACTCCCTGCAGATACTCTGTGGTACACCTAGTCTCACACACACGCGCGCGCGCGCACCGCTGCCACGACATTGTGTTGTACTTCACTGGCCACACGAACGTGTGGAATTCGTCACCATCGTGTGCTATGCAAGAGGAGATTCCGCTGGAGGTGTCTGAAACAGAAGTAACTTTAGAACCTAAACACTGAAGAAACTGTCTTCCCTGACCTCCCCTGTCCTGGATTCTCATCTGTGACTCTCTTCCACACTGCTTGGGTGCTAAGTGAAACTATGGCTCCAGGGTTAACGGCCACTGGTAAAATGAGTGGTCAGAATTCACGGCATCCAACAGAAAGAAGAGAAGCACACCCTCAGAATCCCTTAGGCGGGCAACCGACAAGTGTTAATACTGTGCACAGAACTCCGCCAGGCTCCGAAGAGACTACAAGAGGAGCATCAGATAGCCCTTGACCTTAAGGAAATTATAAGAAACTAACATATTAAGTAATAGTTTAGAAGGTTTTTATAAGGAAAAATTGTTATGAAATCAAATGTTCGATTTTTTATAGGCAAATGTTTGCAGCTCCTGATACTGTAATAAATGCCCCAGAAGTTGAAAAGAGGACATTACTAGGGTGGCTGTGTTAGGGAAGTCTTGATGGAATGCGGTCCCCAAGAGCCAGCAGAGAGGGCGGCCCGTCCCCTGTCCAGGGGAGACACGCACGTCACTGGTCTGCCATTCCAGGGGACGCTGAGAAGGAACCAGCCCAATTACAGCATTACTCTTATTTGAGAACCATTAACTCTTTCTCATGATGACCCAAGTTGAAGCATGCTGATGAATTTCTCTGCTAAGTGCGGAGGAGATGTGAAATTGTCTTCCCAAAACAACTTTAGAAGAAAATTATGATTAGAATAAATATTCGCTTAAGATGGCTGAAGTGCCAGTGCAAAGCAACTGAACGGGCTGAATGATCAGAGTCCCTTCGGAGCCATGCCGGTTTGCTTGTCACTCGCACTGCCTCTGGCTTTTCTAGCTGGTTGTGCTGATTTGGGTCAGAGGCGGTGGCATTTGGTCAAGGTGAGGGTGCAGGGTGGATCGGTGTCGCTCCTCGGGAGGAATGCACGTGTAGGGGAAGCACCCGTGGACCTCCAGCAGTTGTCAGTACCTTGTCATCCTGAGCCAGCCACATTTCCAGACAAGTCACTTGTACAAGCCAAGTTAACCGGCAAGGATATTGTTTTTTCCTGTCCCGTTACTTGAATTTTGGGTGTTTACACATCTTTTAGGAGAACGTCTGCTATCTTTTAATTGTACACGCAGTAGCTGCTTTACATTATCTAACCTGCCCTTGCAGAGAAACGTCATCACTAATCTGCTCCAGAAAAGACGTGCATCCCTTATGTGTGTCCGTGTTGGAGGTACGTCACAGAGCTTGATTTTAGTGGTCTCTGGCTCAAACCAAAGGGTGAGAACATTCTGAAGATATGTTTTCCCTCATCCGTTATTACAAGTCCCATAAAATACCCTTTTGAAACGTTCTGGAAAGTGCCTTCTTTTCAAGGATTATGGTTCTTTTAAATAATAGGTAATACTTTAGAGTCGGTTCATTAGAGAGTAAATATGACCAGTTGTTTCATTACATTTGAAAAATGTCTACGCAGAAATAATTCTGTAGTTACTAATGGAAGCCTTTGTCTTTTCTGCTGTCAATATTAAACACAGGCTCCGATCAAAGTTTTTGGAGAGGTTTTCCAAACTGCGTATCTGCCTGAGATGTGAAATGTTATTATTTAAACTGTGAGGCTTAGATTATGGCCCTCAAATGCTAATTAAGCAGTGGGATTCTTATTTCTTTTTTTTTTTAAGTTTATTCATTTATTTTGAGAGAGAAAGAGAGCGGGAGAGGGGCAGAGAGAGAGAGAGAATCCCAAGCAGGCTCCGCACTGTCATCACAGAGCCCGACGCTGGGCTCAAACTCCAGAGCTATGAGATCATGCCCAGAGCTCAAATCAAGAGTTGGTCACTTAACCAACTGAGCCACCCAGGAACCAACTTCTAATAATGTTCAAATGGTAGTTTCTTCGGTAAGTAGTACACTACAGTACATGTATGTGTTAAGTGATTGTTCAATGAAGTGTCAAACACTAAATTTTCTCCTCAGTTTATTTGGTAAGTACAAACTTTCACAAGGGTTGGTCTAGGTTGTTTTTGTTTTTGTTTTTTACTGGGCTAATTTACATGCAGTAAAGTGAACAAATTATAGTGGACCTACAGCTTAGTGAATTTTTATATATTTATACCCGTATCACCATCTCCAGATCAACACTTAAAATCGATATAACCATAGGTATGTTCTGTAGTTTGGTTTGGGTGGTTATGTAGGTGTGTGCAGTATAAATGTTTTATATGGAGTGACTATGGTTACCCCTTGGATAAGCACAGAACTTCAAATATAGTCTTCAGTTTTTAAGCAGTATATGTTAAGTGTTTAGAGAAATAAAATGACCTTAATCCATGTCGTAGAAGGATATGGAAATTAATTGCATGATTTCTGCAGATAAAAGCTGCCTAAAAAAACCAAAAACTGCCCAAGAACTTTTAACCCTGACATGGCTCAGGTCTGCCCATTCCAGTAGGTGCGCAAACACACACACACACACACACACACACACACTGGACACAGTCCCCCTTCGTTCTCCTCCTGGCCCACCTCACTCTTTCATATGTAGTGAAGGAGAAAGATGCTTGCACCTAGTGAAGTGAGGAAGGGGCCAGCTTCCTTTCAATGTGATGTCCCCCTGTCACCCAGGAGGACTGCCTGTGGTGCACATCTGCTGGATTGGAGGCAGGGGATGAGCGGTTGAGACCTAGGGAAAGGACCTGGATGGACGCTGTGTCACCTGGAGTCTATTCCCAGAAATACCACTTTCAGCTGGAATGTCTTTAATGTCTCGTTTAACTTCTCTGGCCCTGCTGTCTCTAAACCTGGTAAAGTCGTGCCCAACAGCCTCATGGGGCTGTGTGGTCTTTATATGAAGGAAGTCATATGAAGGTATTTTGCAGATGGTAAAGCATTAGGAAGGGAACATGTGTGCATCGCTTTCTGTAGCTTGTTCCTTCCCTCTCTGTGCTTCCGCTCTGTGCTGCCGCAGGGAATCTTGTGGGGGAGAGTAACTGAAAGAGAGGTACTGAAAGAAAATAATTTTAATATGATATCATTTAATAGTACATCATTTAACAAATAGTTTTCACATACCTTATCCCACTCGATTCTCACATAATTCCAGAAAGAACCATAGTATGCCCAGTTGACGTGTGAGGAAATTGGTGTTCAGAAAGGTTTATCTTTCCCAAAATGAACCAACAAATCAGTGCCAGAGCTGGCGTGTTGTTTACGTTGTTGAATTCTGTAGTTGCACTTTTGCCTACCCTTTACCGCTGCCTACACTTCAGTCGGACTTTTATCAGTTCTTATTTTTCTGATAATTGTCTCTGGCTTGGGAAACATTCATCCTGAGTCTCGGTCAGACCTCAAATATTCTAACTGTAAAATTACCTGTTCTGCAGTTCTCCATCCTGGGGTAAAACTGCGGGTCCGTCCTTTTCAAACCATTTGAGTCGGATAGTGTGTATTTCTATATTATGTATGCATAAGAACACCCGCATACTAAAGGGATCAGGATTCTAAATGTATTATGCCAAACACTAAAAATAGGCGGGGGGTGCGCCTGGGTGGCTCAGTCAGGTAAGCATCTGACTTCAGCTCAGGTCTTGATCTCACGGTCTGTGGGCTCATGCCCACCGCCGGGCTTGCTGGATGGGAAGCTCAGAGCCTGGAGCCTGCTTCAGATTCTGTGTCTCCCTCTCTGTCTCTCTGCCCCTCTCCTGCTCATGCTCTGTCTCTCTCTTTCTCTCAAAACTGAATAAACATTTAAAAAAAATGTAGGGGTACCTAGGTGGCTCAGTTACGCGCCTGACTTCAGCTCAGGTCATGACTCACTTGGCCTGTTCTGCGGGTTTGAGCCCAAGGCCTGTGCTGAACACTTGCTGGGAGCCTAGAGCCTGCTTCGGGTTCTGTGTCTCCCCCTCTCTCTGCCTCCCCCGCTCATGCCTCTCTCAAAAATGAATAAACGTTAATAAACAAAAATAAATGTATTATGTAAATGCTTGTTATATTTAAAATGTATCCCTTCCCCCCCCCTTAGTGTTCGAAAGAACCCTCAAACCAAGAAAATACAAATTACCTCTTCCATCTTTAAAGTTACGGCATACGTAAGTGTTGAAGGGGAATTTGCAACCAATCAATTTAATCACTGGGTATTAACAGGGTTGTTACAATGGGAGTTAGCAACTAGTGCAATGTTATGTCTGGGAGAAAAGATGATGGATGATATTTAGTGTTTTTGTCAAAATTAGAAGTTGATAAGTTACGCTTTTATTTGGAGAGCCATACAAATGTCCCCCCTGGCCTCTTTTCTGTTGTCCCTGTCTAATAATAGTCCGTCCTTATTTAAGAGCGAAATGTGTGACTCAGATGCAGAACACATTCTCTAGCTTGTCGGACCGTAGCTTCTAGGGCAGATAAGTAAGGATGTTGTAAATGTCTGTATATCACAGAATCTGATGCTTGAATTCTAGTGTCATATAAGAGATTGTTAGCACATTTGAAGCAGTTTCTAAGTATCTTTATTCAGTCACTTAACAAATACTATTAAGTGCCGGTTGTGTATCCCCCGCCGTGTTGGGCATTTTGTGGTGATAAACAAAAGAAACAAAGTTGCTTCCCTCATAGTATGTAAAGATCACATTCTAAAGGAAAGCAAAGATAGAAGAAAATTGCAAAACAATTTTTTGCAATATTAGCACTTTAAAAGCACTTTTTCAAAAGAGAAGATTTCCTTTTAGACTATAAGTTCCTTAAGGTCGAGAATTATATGCATTTGTATTGTACATATGTACTGTTAGCCCAGTAGACTGCTGTCAGTAAATATTTTAAAGTATCAGATAATTACCAATTTAATTGTCAAAGATTTGATGTAAGTTTCATGACATTTTAGCAGAAATATATAGTAGTTAAATATGTTGATTATTACTTACATGCAATTGTAGGCTAAATAACCTAGGTTTATCTTTTTCAGGATTCCGCTGGCATGTGCTACCCTTCAACAAAGTCTCATGAACAGACATTTTCTTACTTTCTTGTGGATCCGATCAGGCGTCATGTTCATGTTCTATACCACTGTTACGGTGTGGGGGAAATGTCTTAACAGTATTCTTTCAGATTCTCGATTTTACTGTTTTTACCAGTTTTTTATTTTGACGTCATTTTATAGGTAAACCTCTCCTTTGCCAGTTAATTTCAGTAAAATGTGGAGAAGCCGCATGGAACAGAAGGACACGGTACAAGATGCCTGTCTTTAAATCTGCCTCGAGTGGTAGCATAGGGACCGAACTCCATCCCTGCCACGGCCGACACCAATGTGGTTGTGGACAATTTACAGAAAGATACAAGGAACTAAAAATCCAGTCCGTATTTGTCGCATTAGGATTCAAGTAAGGCCTCGATTTTCCACGTATTTTATTTTAGAAGCGAATTAATTGTAGCTTGAAACTGTGGCAGAAAACTGACCATCTCTCCGCTGATCATTATTATCAACTGTTAGCTTTTCAAATTTGAGTTTCATTTCATTGCATTTCTTCATTGCATAAAGATTTACACGTCCAGGGGTGTAAAATGCATAACAATTCCTTTGCTTCGTTTGTCCCAGTTAAAATCCTCAATAAAAAAAGTCATGTTCTGAAAGTAATCATGTTCTGAAGTCTTTTAGCACATAATAAATTACCTCTGCGGCTGCCCCACAGCTGGCCGAGGATCCACCTCTGAACAGAGTTGCCCCGATGGTCTTACTGAGGTGGCAAGAGAGGAAAGAGCGGGTCTCTTAGGCTACATTCTCCTGTTTCCTCATTACTTTCCAAGAATGAATATATAACTTAGGTTTCCTTCATGGTAAAAATGACCAACCTGTACCCAGAGGAACAGAGAGCCTGCGAGAAATGTTGGGACTTTGAGGAGAGGCGAGTTTGGAGTCTGTGTTTGTGTGTCGTAAGGACAAGAGTGATGACCTTGGATTTGTGCCTGTGGATTTACCTGAAAAGCGGCCACCAATTAGCTAGAGACTTCGGGGGGAGACGGGTTGTGTCACCTGTGATGCCCAGCCCAGTGCTTGGCATATTCCGCGTCTACTGGGCGAATATTTTCCAGACATGTTCATGACATCCACAGATATTTTTTAAACCGTGTAAGAAAAGTCAGATTGAGAACTGAAGTGTCGCACCCGTCCTGCCCTACCACACAGACCCTACAACCTGGGGACTCTCCCTCAATCACCAGGTCAGCCAGTCAATGATTCTGTCTGTGCATCAGCTCCGTGCAAGGTGCGCCGTCCCTGAGCCCAGTCGTGAAGGTTGTCTGTCAGAGCGTGTCCCCAGACGGGGATTGCGGCCTGAATCCAGAGATGGAAGACGGCAGCGTGAACTGGGCCTGGGAGGGCCTCAGTCTGGGGTTCCACAGCACCGGGGCGGGGGTGGGGGAGTCTCAGCAACAGAGAAGAGCCTTCCCCCCGACTCCCACCCTGTGTGGGGAGGCGTGATGTGGTGGGTGTTGGAGCCTGGCACTGGGACAAAAGTCCAGGACTCACAGATGGGCTGGTCTTCTCTCTGCTGTAGAGGTGGGGGTGCAAAATACCTTTGAAGAAAGATTGCTTCATTGTTTGGGGATAACCACTTTAATGATCTATCTGTGATTATGCAAGTCATCTCCATGGGGGTATAATAGCATCCCACTAAAGAATGTGGGCTGAGCAGTCAGATTGCCTGGCTTCTGAATTCTGCCCGGACTTGCTGTGTGACTTTGGGCTCACTAAAACTTCTCTGTGCCTGAGTTGTCTCATCTGTAAAGTGGGGAAAATAATAGGACTCCTTCATAGGTTATTGTGAAAATTGTTAGAATAGTGCCAAGCACATAGTTTGAGTGTGAATTTTGGCTCTTTTCATTCTCTATTGAGGAATATGAAAAAATCAGGAGCTAAACTGTCTGCATAACAATGTAAAAAGCTGTCTTTCTTAAGTTCAGAATTGCTTTTCTTTTTTAAATTTTTATTTACTTTTGAGAGACAGAGAGACAGAGCACAAGCCGGGGAAGGGACAGAGAGAGAGGGAGACACAGAATCCAAAGCAGGCTCCAGGCTCCAAGCTGTCAGCACAGAGCCCGACGTGGGGCTTGAACTCACGAGCAGTGAGATCATGACCTGAGCCGAAGTCTGACGCTCAGCCGACTGAGCCACCCAGGCACCCCTGTAATTGTTTTTTTATAGGTTATATTATTATTAACTCGACTAGATATGATATAAAGGGTGGGAACACTAGTTTTCCCCACTCTGGGCCCCAGAGAATGTAGAGGACATAAGCTTGTACTCCCAAGAATTTCTCTGGCAGCATTTTGCACACTTAGAATTATTTGCTCACCTCTGGGGTGCCTGGCTGGCTCAGGTCGGTGGAGTGTGTGACTCTTGATCTCAGGGTCATGAGTTCAAGCCCCACGTGGGGTGTGGAGCCTACTTAAAGATTAAGAAATTAAAAAAAAAGAATTTATTTGCTCGCCTGACCTATTTATAGTAATTTATTCAATGTCTGTCTTGAAAACAGGACCTGTGTCCTGTGGTCCACCCTTGAATCCCCAGTGCCTAGCATGGTGCGGGACGCGGGATCGACACCCAGTGTCTGTTCTCAGACTGATGGACAGAAGCTGGCCCTGAGGGTGTGAGTGCAGGTGTGGAGTGAGGGAGGGGAAGGGTGGCTGAGTAAGTGCACACATCTCCTCCAGCTGCCCGCAGCCCCGTGTTCCTTCCACACACTGGTATAGTCTGGATGCAGCCATCCTGTGTGGAAGCGAATACGTAGCCTGGGAGTGCGCCAGGACAGAACGGTCCCTGGAGAACGCAGCCTGCAGAAGCAGGCTGTCATCTGCAGGCGTGAGAGACTGCATGGTGACAAGTGACAACAGAATGATTTTGGGGACTTGAGAGAACTCTTCAGAAATTCTGAAAGTTACTTGAGGGAAGAAGACTGACAGGATTACAATTTGGACACTTCAAAAGGGGGCTTAGGCCGAAGACCAGAGAACCTGGGACACCGAGGTCCCACGAGCAAAAACAATACAGAGGTATAGAAACACAAAGTGGTTTTTTGGGGCGCCTGGCTGGCTCAATTGGAAGAGCATCCAACTGTTGATCTCAAGGTCATGAGTTTCAGCCCCACATTGGGTGTAGAGATTACTTAAATGAACCTCACACACACACACGGTGGTTTGGGGGACATGAGTATAGCTGGCTAGTTGGAACTGAGGATCTTGTCCAGGAGTTCTGGACGATAGCATAGAGACGGATTGCTGAGGACTTGGTCACTGAGGGCTGTGGGTGCAAAACTAGGAAATTTAAATCCTCTCTTTTTGAAAGATTTTATTATTTTTTTTAAGTAACCTCTACCCCCAACTCTTGATCTCGAACTCCCAACCCTGAGATCAAGAGTCACGTGTTCCGCTGACTGAGCCAGCGCAGTGCCCCATAATTTAAGTCTTTTAAGTAGGTGATGTATAGCAGTCATTAAAGACTTTTGAGCAGGTTGGTCGCATCGTAAAAGTGGTATTCTGGAAAGATTAATCTGGCAGTGATGAAGTGGGGTGAAGAAAGTCCAAAATCCAAAGATCAAATAGATTATTATAGCTGTCAAAGCACAGAACTGACTGATCGGAGTAGGAAGGGAAACCTTTCAGTGGGTCACGAAGTATGTGACAGTGGAACGCTCACCAGAAAAAACCAAATGTGGCCCCAAACAGTTAGCAAGTGGCTGTATTATGGTGTGTTGTGTATCTGGTGGCAGGATGGGGAAGTGGGGCTGTGGTAGGAAGTTGTGGTCAGGAGGGGAAACCCCTCGTCCTGCCTGTCGCTCAGGTCCCCACCCTGGGCTTGGAAACCGGAGTCTTGTCGGTTCTTACAGCTGCCCGGAGGCCTCTCAGTCATCTAGTCAACCGGCAAGTATTTGTTAAGAACTGGTGTCACTTATTCTTTAACAAATGTTTATTGATTGCCTACTATGTGCTGGGCACTTTCTAGACACTTGCAGATACGGCAACGAACAAAACAGACACAGTTTCTGTGCTCGAGAGTTTATATGCTGGTGCCGCAACAGGGTTAGGTGTGGTGAGGGATAAAAAGATCTATCCAATTACTCTCAACAAGTGTGCCCTTTTGTTGGAGACATGCCACACTCACAGGTCTTAATTTTTTTCAATCTGATGGGTGTGAAATGGCATTCATTATTTTAATTGCTCTTTTTTTAATGAGGTAGAGCATCATTTTATATATTTTCTTGATCACGTAGATTGATTGTCGTGGGCACCCCCAGGGTTGGGAACCACTGCTCTACTCTACTTCCTTAGTTTAAAAGAAAGAGAGAGAAAAAAAAAAAAAGAGAGAGAGAGAGAGAGCACGAGAGAGTAGATGAAAACGGAAGAACAAAGGAAAGAAGAAAAGGCAGGGAAGTATGCGGTCTCCCAGTAAAAGCTGCGTTAATTAGCACTAGAAGCGGCGTTCAGGGCCACATTTAGCCGCGTCCACCTGGCAGACGGCTGACTGCTGGGCGCTTCGGCAGCCTCTGATGTAGTTTCACGCATATTTCGGGGTACATGTCGAAGTTCTTTGAGCAGGCTCACTGGGTTGGAGGAGGAGTTGAGCACCCCACCATTCCTGTTGTCTTTTTTTTTTTAAGAAAAAAAAATTGGTCTGCTGGGCTGGGCACTTGTAGCAAACATAGGTACCTCGACAAATTCGTTTCTTATTTTTCATTACTAAACTGGTTATGAGAGAAAATAAACAAGTCAAGACCATGTGGACAATAGAAATTAATTTTTATTCAACCAAATTCTTGACCAACTGTCACCCTGTTGTTATATCTTATATTGTAGAGAATAAAGTTATTTTGCTTAGAAGTACTTTGTACATCTACAGTTAGACCTACCACCAAATCCTGAGGGAGGCTGGGCAATTGGGAGTGGGATACGCTCATTGAGAGGCTTTCTTGAAAAAGGAGTTGAAGTACACTTCCTTTATTTTTAAAGTTTTTATTTGAGAGTGGGGGGGAGGGGCAGAGAGAGAGGGGGAGAGAGAGAATCCCAAACAGGCTCCGCAGCTATCAGCACAGAGCCCAAGGA